CCCACTGGTTTTTGAGTATTATGATTCCTGATATCAGATTTGTGTCCATTAATTCTTTTGCGTAGAGACTGTCCAGTTTGGCCAATGTACATGGCAGAGGGGCATTGCTGGCACATGATGGCATATATCACATTGGTAGATGTGCAGGTGAACGAGCCCCTGATGGTATGGCTGATGTGATTAGGTACTATGATGATGTCACTTCTGTGAGTGAAAGGTTCCCCGGCTCCTCTTTTGATATAGTGTGAACTGATGCAATAAGGAATTTCCTCAAGGAAATGCCACATATTAATTTTATTTTCATCAGAGTTTAGCCCTGTTGTAGAATAAGTCAGATTACTTTAGATGTGAGTGCAGGGCACATGGCCTACCTGATATCCTCAGAAGAATGCAGGATTGTCTTTTGAGTTCACCTGAATTCCAGTACACAAATATCAGACAGCTCTGGTATGTCACCTTTGTTTACCTTGAGCTGCATCCCAGGATTCTTTAAAACTGACTGCTCAGCCATATGAGCCATCTTGTTTCCAGAAAGGAAAAGTTACCTAAAGATTGCTGGATATTGATGTTGTCAATTTAATCAACAATGCAACATGTGTTTTGTAGTACTAAGCATGGTTTGTACTTTTTATGTTCTGCAGCATGAGAATAGAGCTACTGTTGTAATTAAATTCTCCGGCTCAGTTTCAAAATAGGTTGCAGTTGCGATTGCAACTTCCAGGGAATAGTTTGGTTATGGCTTGCTCTACACTGGATAAGAGTCCAGTCTTGTTTCTTTAATTCTATATAGATTTTGTTCAGTGCTTGAAATAGTCCTCACAGGTCTCGCAGCTCAATAAAATGCAAGGAAGGGCAGATTTTCCTTTCTGTTAGTGTTGGCTGATTTCAGTAGTATTTTCAGTGCCTCTAGAAAGTTGTCAAGTATCAGAGGGGTAGCCGTGTTAGTCTGGATCTGTAAAAAGCAACAGAGAGTCCTGTGGCACCTTTAAGACTAACAGAAGTATTGGAGCATAATCTCTGTTGCTCTAGAAAGTTGATGCATGTGGCCATTTCCCCAGTCACATGAAAAAAAGTGGAATAGTGACTCTCTCCAATTGTTATGTTGTGATGTCATATTCTGATTTGATAGAAGTGCAGAAGAAACTGCACATAGGCTACTTAGAAAATGGAGATTGAAACTGGGAGGGAGGATCAGAGGGCTGTCACTCACTTGCTGCTCTTCACTTTACTTCATTTACAAATGAACTGAATATGTGTTTCTATTTTGTTGTGATTTCCTAGGAACACCATTCTACCCAAGTCAGCCAGTGTATCAGTCAGCACCCATCATAGTGCCTACACAGCAGCAGCAGCAGCAGCCTCCACCAGCTAAAAGAGAGAAAAAAACAGTAAGAACCTACTCTTCTGGTACTTTCTTTATGGATCTCCTAAGTCTGATATAGCAAGGCTGGGACATTGAAGGGGACACACTGGTATAAAATTCAATATTAAACTCAGATTGTTACTCCCTCACCCTTTTGTAGGTTTTGTCCCCTCCCTTTTAGCTCCTTCTTAGTCTAGAACTTCTGATAATGGGCAGGGCGTCCAGTAACAGTTGTGTATAAAGCTGGCCAGCTCATCTTATTTTTCAGTCTTCACAGTGTTGAATTTACTGGGTGGTGGTCTCTTATTCTAACTGTAGTAAATGTGAAAGCTGCTTATTGATACTTCAATTGAGAAGTTAATGCTTAGTGATTACCAAACATGGTATTTAGACATAGCTCAACATGTCTAAAATTGAAGAAATGGTAGGGGACAACTGAAGTAATGAAGACAGAATTCTCTTAAAGGAAAATATAAACATTGTTGAGAGTTGTTTGCAAGATAGGAAGGATTTCCTACATCTCAAAGTACAGGATATCTCTTTCTTTTGATTTCTTAAGATCAACTGTGACATTGGATGAAACTTTGTCTATTGAAATGGAAAAGCAGAACATTTAACTGGGTGGTACTGCAAGCAAGACATTTTTTGTACCCTTGTCATCAACACATAGCTGTGATACTAAGTCCCTTTTCCAGGCCTTCAAGCAACTGTTCACCATCAGCTTCGTTTATGAACAGTCTGTTCATTTTTAACATCCAAAAAATATCATAGATAAATCAGTAGTTACGCCATAAAAACCAATTCAAATGCAAAGACTTAAACTTGATAAGAAAGTTGCAGTCTTGTATGCTAATAAAATTATATTCAATGTACAGTAGAACCTCAGAGTCACGAGCATCAGAGTTGCGAACTGACCGGTCAACCACACACCTCATTTGGAACCAGAAGTAAGCAGACAGACATGCACGTGCACACACGCACAAGCAAATACTCTACAGCGTAAACTGCTAAAAAAAAACCAAAGGGATCTTTTTTTTTTAAAAGACAAGATAAGGAAACTGTTTCTGTGCTTGTTTCATTTGCACTAAGACGGTTAAAAGCAGCATAGTAAAATTTCAAAGCTGTATTAAGTCAACATTCAGTTGTAAACTTTTGAAAGAACAATCATAACATTTTGTTCAGGGTTACAAACATTTCAGAGTTACAAACAAACTCCATTCCTGAGGTGTTCATGATTCTGAGGTTCTACTGTAGCAGAAAATGAGAAGTTTTAAAAAATGATTAAAGCCCTTCTCCCTAGATATATTCTTCTAGACAGAATTAAACTCACAGGCTTACACTACTAAATGCTGCAATTGAAGAAACAAAGGAAAAATTAAAGGAAGAACTAAAAGAATCAACAATGATATAAATGCAAGATGACTGGTTGAACATGAGATATGATCCAGTAATGCTACAAGCATCTATACAAGGAAAATGTATTTTTTCTGCTACTGATTCGTGGTCTGGAAAAAAATGTGCAGATTATCACTTTCTGATTGCTGTAGAGTTAATAAAAGAATGCAGAGAAAAGTATGACAAGGGAGGTGTTTTCCATTTTCTCAGACCGTAAAAATAAAAAGATTAGAAAACGTATCTGTTGCAGTGATCCTGACAAGCATATTTGTATTCAGTATACTCTTTAAACCTGAGAATGAAGTAAAATCTAACACAATACTAAAGCTCATAGTGCAAAGTCAAAAAGTTCTTCTGGACACCATTAGCCTATTATATTCTATATAGGTTCTCATAATGCTCATCAAAGTATCTGAGCACCTTCTGGTAGTGCATTAAACCATGTGACTTCACCACTTGTTTGCTTTCTCATCCTCTCATAGGGGGGTATAGGGAGGGAACATGTAGAAGAATCATAGAAGATTAGAGTTGGAAGAGACCTCAGGAGGTCATCTAGTCCAACCCCCTGCTCAAAGCAGGACCAACCCCAACTAAATCATCCCAGCCAGGGCTTTGTCAAGCCGGGCCTTAAAAACCTCTAAGGATGGAGATTCCGCCACCTCCCTAGATAACCCATTCCAGTGCTTCACCACCCTCCTAGTGAAATAGTTTTTCCTAATATCTAATCTAGACCTCCCCACTGCAACTTGAGACCATTGCTCCTTGTTCTGTCATCTGCCACCACTGAGAACAGCCTAGCTCCATCCTCTTTGGAACCCCCCTTCAGGTAGTTGAAGGCTGCTATCAAATCCCCCCTCACTCTTCTGCAGACAAGCCTAGTTCCCTCAGCCTCTCCTCATAGGTCATGTGCCCCAGCCCCCTAATCATTTTCGTTGCCCTCCGCTGGACTCTCTCCAATTTGTCCACATCCTTTCTGTAGTGGGGGGCCCAAAACTGGACACAGTACTCCAGATGTGGCCTCACCAGTGCCGAATAGAGAGGAATAATCACTTCCCTTGATCTGCTGGCAATGCTGTAGGAGCAGCATTTTATAATTGTACTATGAGAATTAATGTAGGATTTGAAAAGGCTGGATTTTGGTTTTTAGTCTGTTGCTGCTGCAGATAGCTGCCAGAATTAAAGGCAGCTTGTCTGGCCAAGCTTTTCCAGTGTGGTTTACTACCTTCCGCAGCGCTTCCTTAATGGTGCGGTTCATGCGCTCCACCTGACCTGAGGATTGGGGTCGGTATGATATATGAAATTTTTGCTTGATTCCTAAAGCTTGTAACACTGATGTATAAACCTCTCCCACAAAGCCTCCCCTCCCCCCGCCCCGTTATCGGAATCTGTTATTTCAGGGGTACCATATCTACACACCACCTCATTAAGAAACTTCTTAGCTACCACCTTGGTGCTATTCATTTTAGTGGGAACTCATGATGCACCAACAGAGGCTCAGGATCTGGCATAGAGTTCAGATTGATTTTATTGACAAGTTACCAAGAAGTAAAAAAAGATTCCTAATCCTGCCACATATTTTTGTGGCCTTGGGCAACTCACTTAGGCTCTCTGTGCCTCAGTTGCCCATCTGTAAAATAAGAATAATACACTTCCTCCTTCACAGAGGTGTTGTGAGGATAAATCCAGTAAAGGTTATGAGGTGTTCAGATACTGTAGTGATAAGGACCATATAAGGACCTTAGGGGTTACGAGGTTTCTTATCAGAGTGTTCCCATGGACCTTTGCCTTTTTCTTTTGTATCAACCTCTGGCTAGCATGTTTAGTCCTATGGCTAGTAAGTGTCTGGTAAATTTAATCCAGAGTAGGAATAACTATATCCTTAGTTAAAGGGTCATGCACCATCATGGATTGATTTCTTTTCTTAATTGTTCCACTATTCCTCTGGATTTGGGAAAGATTTTGAAGAGATGCTCACATTTAGACCTGATTGTGATGATTGATGAGTGCCTTATCATCTTATTGATAGTTATTCAGATAAGCTTCATTTCTTTGTGCCCACAGAATGCCATCTTAAATCAGAGCCATGTCAGTTTGCAATTATAGGTCTGATTTGTGTGGCATAGACTGATAGAGACTACACTGTATTTAATACTTAGTGTAATGGGAAATATATGACTGCATGCTTTCCTTCTCTGTATACTCCCTAGCATGGTGTCTACTGGGAATACGCATTTGAAGTATTTCTCTATTCAATTCTGTAGATCCGAATCCGGGATCCAAACCAGGGCGGCAAAGATATAACGGAAGAAATAATGTCTGGAGGAGGCAGCAGGAACCCTACGCCTCCCACTGTGAGACCCACCCCCACGCCTACCCCTCCTCAGGTAGTAAGATGATGAGCTCTGGTAATGTCAGCCTTTTGTCATTAATATGTGCTGAACTTTGCTGTTTGCTATAGCCACTTTCTGTATTTTCCATTCACACTAGGTGCATCATCACCTCAGATATCTAAATGTTCCTTTCATAAATAGGCCATTTAAGGGTTATTGTTAGCCAGTTCTTGGTAATTTTTTGACAAGCCCATATTCAGAGAAGAGTTGCTGTTACAGACTTCCTAACCAGCTTTTGCATGGCATTGTCAGGAGCTGTTTTTAAGCATTGTTACAGTAACTGCTTTGTTTCTAAAAGAAAGATCAAGGACAGGGTGGGTCTGCTGCTCGGTGGAGAAGATGAACTGATAATGGAAGACAATAGGAAGGCAGACCTGCTCAATGCCAACTTTGCGTCAGTCTTTTCACAAAGAATAACATGTGACTGGATGACCAGTGAATTTACCATAGACAATATAGAGAAAGGGATGCAGATCGGGATAAGTAAAGGATACGTCAGAGATCTTCTGACCAATTTGAATGAATTCAAATCAGCGGGGCCTGATGCTATTCACCCGATGGTACTGAAGGGATTAGCTGAAGAAATCTCTGTGCCACTGGTAACAATATTTGCAAACTCATGCATGACAGGAGAGGTCCCGGAAGACTGGAGAAGGGCTAACATAGTGTCCATCTTTAAAAAGGGGGAAAAGGAGGAGCTGGGGAACTATAGACCAGTCAGCCTGACTTTGATATCTGGAAAGCTACTAGAAGAATGTATAAAACATTCCATTTGTGAATACCTGGAGGATTAAGGGGTAAGCTCTAGCAGCTAATATGGATTTACCAAGAACAAATCATGTCAAAACAGCTTGATTTCCTTCTTTGACAGAGTAACTGGTTTGGTGGATGGGGGAATGCGGTGGACATAATATACTTGGACTTCAGCAAGGCTTTTGACACAGTCCCACATGACATTCTGATAAATAAATTGGAGAAATGCAGGCTTGGCAGAACTACCATTAAGTGGATATATAATTGGTTAAACAACCACAAACAAAGAGTAACTATTCATGGAATGATGTCAGATTGGAGGGAGGTTCCACAGGGATCTGTTCTGGATTTGGTATTGTTTAACATCTTTATTAATGACCTGGATGTAGGAATAGAGAGCATACTGATCAAATTGCAGATGCACAAAGCTGGGGGGGCGGGAAGGAGGAGGCGGGGGTTGGAGAATTTGGTTATAGATGGGGCCCTACCAAATTCTTGGCCATGAAAAACGCATCACAGACCATGAAATCTGGTCTTTTGTGTACTTTTACCCTGTACTATACAGATTTCACAGGGGAGACCAGCGTTTCTCAAACTGGGGGTCCTGACCCAAAAGGGAGTTGTGGAGGTGGAGGGTTGGAAGGTTATTGTAGGGGGATCACAGTATTGCCACCCTTACTTCTGCAGTGTCTTCAGCGCTGGGTGGCCAGAGGGTGGCGGCTCTTAGCCAGGTGCCCAGCTCTGAAGGCAGCACCCCACCAGCAGCAGTGCAAAAATAAGGCCATACCATACCATGACATCCTTACTTCTGCGCTGCTGCAGGTAGTGGAACTGCCTTCAGAGCTGGGCTTCCGGCCAGCAGCTGCTGCTCTCCACCAGCCCAGCTCTGAAGGCAGTGCCGCCGCCAGCAGAGTGCAGAAGTAAGGGTGGCAATACCAAGACCCCCCCCCTACAATAACATTGTGACATTCCCTCCATACACACACACGATCTCCTTTTGGGTTAGGACACCTACAGTTTCAACACCATGAAATTTCAGATTTGAATATCTGAAATCATGAAATTTACAATTTTTAAAATCCTATGACCATGAAATTGACCAAAATGGACTGTGAATTTGGTAGGGCCCTAGTTTTAGACAACAAAATTAAACTCAACAAAGACAAATGTAAGGTGCTACACTTAGGGAAGAAAAACCAAATGCACCAATACAGAATGGGGTATAACTGGCTTGGCGGCAGCACTGCTGAGAAGGATCTGGGAGTTGTGGTGAATCACAACCTCAACATGAGTCAGCAATGGCATGCTGTTGCAAATAAAGCAAATGCAATTTTAGGATGCTGTGATGGGATCCTCGGGTGCAACCTGGGACTGTGGGACTGCAGTGCCTCCTTTTCTCACTATTCTGGGTAGTCTGTCTCAATGCCTTACTGGTGGCAAGCAGCAAACCCCTCTAGGTGCTGTTACTACTCAGTGCAACCACATGTGGAGCCCCACACCCACCTAGATTGCATGAATGATCCCCGAGCCACTCATGAATCACAGAGAGAAAGGCACCAGCCAAATCTCCCCAGCTCCCAGCCTTGTACTTTAGGAATATACCGTCTTCCACTGCTCAAAACCCTTTCTTGAGCAATGCAAGTTTATTAATTGATTCACCACTTCATCAATAGAAAGTGGACATACACCAGCCTTTGTAACCTGAGCAGATTTACCAAGCATTTCAGTCAAACTCACTGGTAAGGATAAACATTAAAATAAGTGTATAGATTACAAAAAGATAGATTTAAGTGATTATAAGGGATAGGCAAAAAGTCAGAGTTAGTTATCAAAGAAAACAAAATAAACAAACAATCTAAATCTTAAATCTGTAAGACACTAGGCAGTATGTCGATCAAGCGGTTTTCTTGGCCGTTTCTCAGATGTTACGGTTTATAATGCTCAGGTTTCACCCTTGAAACCTGGGCCAGTCTCCTCTGTTGGAGTTTCAGTCTTCTGAGTGTTCTTGTTGCTTGCAATGAAGAGGCGGGAGGAAGGAGAGGGGAGAGAAAAGGCGAAGCATGGGGCCACTGTGTTCTGTTTTATGCCCTTATTCCTTGTGCTTGGAGAACATAAGTACAGGCGTATCTGGTGGGCATTGCTGAGTCACCAGGCAAGCCTGAGCAATTCCCCTGGTGTGGCCTTGTGCAAGTGAGTCACTGAATTCTAACTCCCTTGCTGGAAAATGGCCGTGGATGGTTGTTCGACACCTGCCCACGCATTGGTTAGCTTCCTCATTCTTGTCTCTGGGGATCTAATATCTGGGCAGTTCCCCAGCTCGCAGCATATTTTAATGACAGCCATACAGCACAATCTCATAATTTCATACACAACAATGATATACATATTTAGATAGAACAATGGCATTTAGGAGATCATAACCTTTCCCATGATACCTCACATGTCATGCTTTATTTGAAATATCACAATTTTATATAAATGATGAAAATGGCGCTCCCCCAAGGTATAGAGTGTCACAGATGCATTAACAGAGGCATTGCTTGCAAGCCATGGGTGGTGATAATAATGCTCTACTCGGTGCTGGTTAAGCCTCAGCTGGAGTACTGTGTCCAGTTTTGGTCACCAGTGCATAGAAAGGATGTGTAGAAACTGGAAAGGATCCAGAGGTGAGTGACAGAGATGATCAAAGGGCTGGAATGTAAGCCATATGAGCAACGGCTGAAGGAACTGGGTTTGTTTAATTTGGAAAAAAAGAGATTAAGGGGGGACATGATAGTGGTCTTCAAATACTTGAAAGGCCGCCATAAAAAAGATGGAGAAAAATTGTTCTATCTTGCCACAGAGTGCAGGACAAGAGGTAATGGGTGCTAACTACAGCATAACAGATTTAGATTAAACTTCTTAACTGTAAGAACAGTAGGAGATTGGAACAGACTGCCTAGGGCATTTTGGAAGCTCCTTCGCTGGAGGCTTTCAAAAGGAGGCTGGATAGCTACCTGTCTTGGATGGTTTAGACATAACAAATCCTTTATCCTGGCAGGGGGTTAGACTATATGACCCTTGCAGTCCCTTCTAACCCTATGATTCTACTGCATACAGGAGAATCTTGTATTTTTAATATAAAAATGTGACTATTCCACTGAAGCACTATAAAGGAGAGAAAAGTCCATATGGCACATTTATACTGAATTAATTTGTGCTGTCAGCTATGTGCTTTAATATATCCTTGCAGTGTGACCAAGTTAACTTTCCTGTGGGAATCTTTATATAAGAATGTGCATATATTCTCAACCTTAAAATTACACTTTGTTGTTAATCAACGAAAAAGAATAAATATCCTAAACGGACCCTTCTCACAGCTCTCCTCTCTTGATTTCCCCAGTAAAAAGTCAGCTGTCCAGCTTCCAATTGCTCTACCCGCTTGATTCTCCCTACCTTGATTTCATGTGAATAACCCACTGCCAGGGAGTGAAAATGATATTGATCTGATGTCCAGGTCTTGCTACATTCAGCCTCAAATCAGGGCCAGAAGAGAATTGCTAGACCAAATTTCAGAGTGGTAGCTGTGTTAGTCTGTATCAGCAAAAAGAACGAGGAGTACTTGTGGCACCTTAGAGACTAACAAATTTATTTGGGCATAAGCTTCCGTGGGCTAAAACCTACTTCATCAGATTCATGCAGTGGAAAATACACCTAACTGGAATTGATATGAGCAATCACTTGAAGAAGAACCATTTTTTCATGTTCTCTATGTATCTGTGTATCTTCCTACTGTATTTTTCACTGCATGCATCTGATGAAGTGGGTTTTAGCCCACGAAAGCTTATGCCCGAATAAATTTGTTAGTCTCTAAGGTGCCACAAGTACTCCTGTTCTTTTTGTTAGACCAAAAACTCCCGGTAGCCCTGACATGTATTTGAAGTCCGTATTGTAATGAACTGCTATGGCTAGAGGTGTATTCTTTATACTGTTGAAAAATGACTTCCTTACCTTCACCTGCTCTCTTCCACATGTGCAACATACAGCTCTGAAGCATAGGGACGGGATGCCTCCCTGCTCTCGTGCTTACATCAATGTTGGGAAGAAAAGCTGATTCTCTTTTTTAGTGCTGACTCCAGTTTAGGGAATAGATCAGAGGCATAGCCTGACCATCTCTCTGTCAGAGGACCAAGTTTTCAATTTCTCTGAGCTGTCAGAAGCAACAGCTGCAGCCTCTCAATCTCTCCCTGCTTACTGGATCT